TGGCTTGGCCCCCTGCCGGAAGCCGCGGGCCCGCGCCGGAAGAGGTGGGGTCGTCCCTCGGGCGACGCCTCTTCGATTGGCACCGGGTTTGGAGGCGTGACGAGCCCGGGCCGTCGCTCGGGTAACGGTTCTGGGGCTGTGGGCGGGGCGGAAAGATGGGCGCGGTCTTCGTGCCTGCGACCGACTTGTGGTTGGCTGTGGGGCGGACCTGCGGTAGGAGGGGGCGTGGCCAGATAGGAAGCTCAAGTCCCTAGCAACAGCGCCCTGGGAACTGTTTGCTTAGCAACGGAGGGCTCTCAAGAGAAGGCCTCGTCCATATTCCGGCCTTCCCATCGTGTTACGGCTGACCCCAGGTGACCCTAGTGTTTCCTTAGGCTCCCAACATACACCCTGCCGACTTCCGGTGTTTCCCACTGACATCTTAAAGTCCCCAACTGACCACAGCGTCTCCAACCTTTCCTCCCCACCTTCGATGAAGCCCCAAGTCCCCGCTGACTCCAGTGTCTCCACAAAACTCCAAGGACTTCATCTGACCCACTACGGATTAATGCTCACCCCAAACATCCTCCGTATTTTCCTCCAACATCCAATATATATCTCCATGACTTCACTATCTTCAAAAACCTCACTTGTCTTCCCAAATCCATCTCTAATACCAAAATTTTACTGATCTCCGCAATATCCGCAGTGTCCCAATGATTCGCTAGTAACCCAAAGTCTCCCGCTGGCCCTAACAGTCCCCACTGTTAACCACCCCCTCACTTCTGCTGAATCCACCCTGCCCCCATCATAGATATTCCTAGACTCACTTATGCAGTGGGCTCCCAGTTTCTCACTGGAATGTCCCAGAGTCATCTCATACTCACAAGTCCTACAATGAACTTGTCACCTACTTCAAATCCTGCTCCTCTCCCGTGCTCCCATCTTAGTGCTTGCCCTGCCGTCCACCCAGTCACCCAGGCCACAGAACTGGGTGTATTCCTAGATTTGTACCATTTCTCTTTACCCCCAACTTTCTAGTCTCCAAGGCTTTTGCATTCTACCACTTGAATTCCTCTGAGTTCCTTCCTCTCTACATCCCTGTCCAAACTTTTCTTCTCCTATCAGAGGTCCTCCTGCATAAGCCTTGTCTCTGGTCTCCCAAATTCTGCCTCACCCTTTCCACCTATCTTTCATTTGGCATTGAGAGGGGTCTTTCTGAAACACGAATATGAGGCCTTACCCTGCTCAAAACCTATCTGTAGCTTCCTAGTGGTCTCAGGGCAACGTTAAGCCCTGAATAATCTGGCTCTTGCCAACCTCTTTCCAATCTCATCTCTCACCACTAACCCCTCGTGCTAATGTGCCTCCTAAAATGAGGTTTGAGAAACTACCCCAACACATCATACCCTCTCTTGCCCCAGGTCTTTGCACATGCTGCTCCCTATGATTGGAATGTCTTTCCCCATTCTTTTTTTGACCCTTTAAAAGTCAGCTCAGGGACTAGCCAGTTAGCTCAGTTGGTAAGAGCTGGTGCCGATAACACCAAGGTCCAGGGTTCAATCCCTGTACCAGCCAGCCACCAAAAAAAAAAAAAAAGAAAAGAAAAAGAGTCAGCTCAGGAGATCTATCAGTCCTCTGGGCTCCCCCATCTGGGTTGTCATTGTCTGGGTACAAGTCTGTTTCCCGTATAGCATGTGGGCTCCAGGAAGACAGGGCTGGGGCTGCTTGGTCACCTCTCTGTCTGTCCCCAGCACCGAGTCGGGCTCACAGGAAGCACTTCAACAACTTTTCTGATGTAGAGATGAATGAATACATGAAACAGATAGGAGAGACCTCTGCCAGGCAATGTCTGTGCCCGGAGCAGAGCCCAACAGCCCTGGCTTGGATTCCATGTCAACAAATGTGAACAAATGAATGACCTGGCCATAATGCCACAGGGAAACTTTATTTGGAGCAGCCGTCTTCCTCTTCTATCCCTGCCCTCCAGGGGCAGGAAGCAAACCAACAATGAAAATACAATCCATAACTAACTATGTCTAAGGGAAAAACTGCTATCTACCTGTTTAGGGAAAGGGGCTATAGGGCTTCAGTCATCCAGGTCCTCATCCTCATCTTCCTCCTCATCCTCCTCCTCCTCCTCTGCAGCGGCCAGAGCCTGCTCCTGGGCAGTCTTGAGGGCCTGCTCCTCCTCCACCGTGGGGTCACTCATCTCCATGATCTCTGGGCCGCTGGGGTACTCGTGCTGAATGGGGGCTGGCAGCGCAGGGTTGAAGTTGTCCGGGCTGTACTTGTGGCCCCAGCCGATGTAGATGTTCTCAAACTTCCTGGAGAGGCACCAAGAGACTGTGAACTTCTCCCTCGAAGGGCCTAGCATGGGTTTTCCTTAAATGGGGCCCAGTGTGGGCACAGCATGACTGCAGAGTTGTGGGTGGTAGGGTGAAGTGTGCCCTCCAGGTTTCTCTGTTCATTTGTTCACTCAACAAATATTTACTGAGCACCTACTCTGTGCCAAGCCATGTCTGCAGTTACCTGGTCCAACAGCATGTGTGCCTATGGAGCGTTTGAAACGCAGCTAGTGTGACTGAAGAACTGGATTTTAAATTACATTGAATTTTCTAATTTCCCTTGTGATTTCTTCTTTGACCCATTACTTATTTATGAGTATGTTGTTTCCTTTTCACATATTTGTGAATTTCCAAGATTACCTTCTGTTATTGATTTCTAATTTCATTTCAATGTGGCCAGAGAACACATTTTGTATGATTTCAGTCCTTTTAAAATTATTGAGACTTGTTTTATGACTCAGCATATGGTCTGTCCTGTAGAATGTTCCATGTGCACTAGAGAAGAATGTGTAGTCTGATGTTATTGGGTGGAGTGAATTTTATTTAGTTTTAATTAAATTTCAGTTTAAATAAAACTGACACTCAATTTGGTTACTGGGTAATTTCTAAGTATGTCTTGAACAACTTGGGTACATAAAATCTACTATTTCAACTGTAAATGTTGTGAAGTCTGAATACAGGTCAAGTATTTCTAATGAAAATTTAGCATCCAGGACTGGCTGGTTAACTCAGTTGGTTAGAGGTGGTGTTATAACACAAAAGTCAAGGGTTTGGATCTCTGTACTGGACAGCCACCAAAAAAAAAAAAAAAGAAAAGAAAAGAAAAGAAAATTTAGCATCCAAATGGAAAATACACTCAGATTCTGAAGACTTAGTATGAAACAAAGAATGTAAAATAGCTCATTAATAATTTTTATATTATTGATTTCATATCATAATTATAATATTCTAGATAGTTGGGAGCAAATAAAATATATTAAAATTAATTTTGCCTGTTTATTTTTACTTTTTGAACATGGCTACTAGAAAATTTTAAATTATTCAGATCCCTGTACCAGTCAGATGCCAAAAAAAAAAAAGAAAAAGAAAATTTTAAATTACATATGTGGGTCATATTTTATGTATGCTGAACATAAATAAAATGGTCTAGATGCTGGGGATGCAGCAGTAAGCAAATTAGACAAAAATCCCTGCCATGGTGCCTACGTTATAATGGGAGGAGATCGAAAAACAAGGAGGTAATTGGTCAGGTCCTAACCCTGCCAATTCGACCTCTCTCCAGAATTTTAACCAGAGAAGGAAAGAGGAGTAAATGGGAGAAAAGAGAGGAGACTAAGAGACAGGGAGACATGAAGATAGGTAGAGAGGTGAGGAGAAGTGGTGGGGGTGGGGGTGGGGCTCAGGCAGAGAGAGAGAGAGAGAGAGAGAGAGAGAGAGAGAGAGAGAGAGGAGGCCGAGTTTGCTTGCCATAGAGGAGCAGTCTTGTTTTGACCTTATTTTTACATTCCCAAGAGAATTGTTTTCCTCCAGGCCTTCCTCAGAGGTTTCAAATGTACAGCTTCCTTGGAAGCCTCCCAATCCCCACCTGTCCTGGCTCATGTAGCCCTTGAACCAGTGGCTATGCCATCACCTGGGAGCTTGCTACAATTCACCTGGGAGCTTGCTACAAATGCAGAATCTCAGGCTCCATCCCAGACCCATGGAACCAGAATCTGCATCTTAACCAGATTCTCCAGGTGAGCCCTACACACTCACAGTTTGGGAAGCTCTGGTCTAGAATGTTCCTTACGCCTGCTTTTCCCCATTATCTCTTTCTTTCCCCAGAGAATTCAGATCAAAGACTGTTTTCCCCAGGAAAACGGTCTTTTCCCTGATTTCCTCAAGACATGACAGTTATAAATTGTCATTTGTCCCTCCACTGTCGCAGTGATAGTACTTACTTTGTAATAGGATATTTGGCGGGAGGGGTGGAGGGAGTGTCATGTGATTAACGCTTATGCTTCCTCTGCCTGCTCCCAGGGACGGATCCATATCTGTCTTTTCAACAAAGAGCTTGGGGTCCAGCACACAGCTGGCAAATAGTGACATTTAAGAGTCTTTTATAAAGAAAACGAATGGATGGGTGAGCGGATGAGTGGGTGGGGGGTGGGAGGCGGTTGAATGGGTGGGTGGACAGGTGGGTATGTGGGGGGTGGAGGCTGGATGGGCACATAGAGCTCCAAGTTTGGATACTTTGCTTTCAGAGGGATGTTGGCAAATTAGGGCGCGGCCAGAAGAAGGGGGGCTGGTAAAAGCAAGCGTGACTCTTCCCAGCCTCTGGAGAAGAAAAAAGAATTGCCAAGAATGGGGTTAAAGTATCAAAGTTATACGGAATCCTACCGCGACTGTGAATCATACGAGAATACAGTACAGGTTCACATGGACGTCAGAAAGGGAAATCTGGCTGGTCCGATGGTAGTGGGTTATCAGAACTTATTAATTAGTGTCACTAAAGTTGTTACACAATCCCCCTTCCCCCCCCCCGCCCACGCTAAATTTGATTGGCTTTTTTTTTAAAAAAAGGGGGGAAGATCTCTGAAAAAAAATCGTCCTGCCACCTTGTGGACAGAGCCGGTCGGTGCGCCCGCTCCCCTGGCTTCCGACGGCGCCCTCTTGTGGCTGTGCAGAAAGGTGGGGATGTGCCTGGCGAGGGAGGCTGAGGGACTGTGGGGAGTGCGTAACTGGAGTGGGAGGATGCAGGGTGACTTCGGCTTGTCAAGCTTTTGGGAGCCACTGGCAGGGGATTCTGGTGGGGAAGAACTCTGCCCCATAGGGAGAAGACCCTTCAAATTTGGAAGAACTGTCCAGGCGACCCAGGGAAGGAGTTAGCCAGCGGGCACCCCACCCCCACCCGCCTGAGACTCCACCCCTGTGGCCAGGGGGCGGAGATCCAGGTTTGAATCCAGCATGTGCTGTGTGACCCTGGACCAGTCCCTTCCCCTCTCTGATCCTCCATTCTCTCATCCACGGGACTCACATCCTTGGTCTGGGATTTCTCATTTTAGCCCCAGTGAGACCCCTGGGAGCTGAGTGAGTGGATCAGTCCCGGGGGTTTGCTGAATGGGGTCCTCCCACTCTCTGCCCACCCTGGTGAGTTGCCCGGCCTGACCAGGCCCTAAGAAGTCCTAAGGGAGTCTACTGCTGGGAGGAACTGGGAGAAGCTTACTTGCCCCTGGCATAGGCGTAGGCCCCCGGCCA